AGCCACCGCCAGCAGCAGCAGCAGCACACTGTCCATCAGACGGCGTCCGTCACGGCGTGGGTGGCTGCAGTGCATTCGTTACACCTCCAAAACAAAGCTAGTGACCATCAGTGGGTGCGCTGGGTCGAGCAGTCCACGTCCGGCGTGTGGTCACACCGTATTCCAGTTCCATGGCGGAAATGGGCATTGTCGCCTCTGCGGCTACTCTAGTACCCACACTGTCGCCACGCGGCGCCCCTCCACCAATCCCCTGTCACTGTGCTCCAGCACGTCCCGCTCGCTTGGTCGCCCCGCCACCTGCAAGGCGTCGTCGTCGTGGAACAGAAACCAGTGCTCGTCCCAGCTTGTGTCCAGCCAGAACTCGCGCCCCACAACGGACGGCCACGGGGCCCTCACCACGCGCACGCGTTTGCCCTCAAGTCGGCTGGACAACACGTCGACCGACGTAAATCGGCCCATCATCGGGGTGGCCGGCGCCCCCTCTGAAAGCGGCTGGCAGTACAAGTGGGAAACATGCAATTCCTCCGTCTGCACCGCAGCAGCCGCGTTGGCGGGGGCACGCCCTGCAGCGACACAAACGGCCCACAACAACAAAAACCGTAGCCACAATGGCTGATGCATCCACCCAGACAGCGACGCGGCCCAAACACGATTGATAGTCCCAAAGAAGTTGAGGCTGACGAAAAGAGACAAAGGGAGGGGAGAAAAAACGGTATATATATATATTCTCTCTCTCCTCCACGGAAGACAAATACTAGATGGAGTAGAGCTAAAGTAGTAAATCCCTAACGGCACAGCTGCTCTACGCAGCAGTACGACAAACAAAAGAACTATCGTCTACTGTATAGTAATAAAAGGGCAATTGAAGAAGAACAGCAGAAAAGCAAAAAAAAAAAAAAGAAGCACGCTAGTAACGCAATGAGCTGTAGTACAGATTATTCATTTGTCTTCTTTTTTCCCTTTACATTCTTCCTGTGCAAAACACCAAACAGAAACGTCAGGTAAATCAACAGGTATTTCAATAATATATCTCACATATAAACAAACATATTATTCTTGGATATAGATGTGTTTGGTGCGGTATGCCTGCATCTGTATATATCCTTCGAATCCAACCTATCAAGCCTATTCTGTTTTCTTTGTTGTCTCTCCCGATTCCACAATTGGTTTCTCTCCCCCATACCTCTGAAGGAAATTCAGAACCCGCTCTTCATACTCCTCCTTGTGTGTATTGTGTAGGCCGCAGTGGAAGGCATCCTCAGAGATGTACAACTCCTTCGGTTCCTGCGCCGCTTCGTAGAGCTGCAACGAGTGACGGTACGGAACTAATTCATCGGCAGTGCCATGCATAAGCAGTATAGGCCGTGGGGAAATCTTTCCAATGCAGTGCAGTGCTTGGCAGTGTTTGGTCGGTTTATTACCAATACGAAGATTTAACCAGAACGACGAGGTGCGGCGGAACAAGTTCAAAAAAAACTTACTATACGCCCGTCTGGAGAAATAACCACCGACCACCTCAACAATTTTCTGATCCTGAAGCGTGGCACAAGTGAGCAGTGCGTTTTCTGCGATAATAGCATCGATACTCTTATCAATGGCAGCTGCCATGATGACAGAAGACCCGCCAACACTCGTCCCCATGGCGCATATCTGTTCATAGTGATAGGTAGACCGCATGAATTGGCACGCCGCCACGACGTCAAAGCGCTCCTTCATACCATACGTAAATCCCCGCATATTTCCATCGCTTAGACCATGCTCACGGAAGTCAAATAGCAGACAGCCGTAACCTGCCTGGTGTAAAAAGGGCACGTGACGAAGCCAGGCACGTCGGTCTCTGCCCCCACCATGCACGAGCACAAGGCCCATCTTTCGTGCGTTCGCGACAGGAGGCGGGACATACCACCCATATAGAGTATAAGAATCCGTGGAGGCGAAGGAGACGTCATCGTATGGAAGCCCAAGGTCTGTGAGTGGGTCATGAATACATCCGTTCCAGTATTCCGGGCAATTATGCATCGTCAGCTTCGAGCAGTTAGGGTGATGATGATACCACGGCGGGCGAATGGCAATCTCTGACACAAAGTATCCAAGCGAAACAAAATAGAAGGCCAGAGTGACAGTAATAAACTGCACGGCAAAGAAAAGGCCATTGATAAAAATAAGAATCACGAATGGGAGCAGAACACATACAACAACCTTGCGAAGAACACGCGGGTTCACCATTTCCGCACTCTCCACATCGTTTTCCTTGTACATATTCTCCTCTTCCTTCTCTTCCTCATTGTCCTTTGTGCATCGCTCCAACGCCTTGGCCTCTTTCAATGATAATAATAGCGACAATTGACTCTGAACCTCCGGCGGGGCCAGTTGAAGTGCTGTTTTTTTGTTCTTGTCAAGAATGCAGGTGTCAACAGACCTGAACTTTTTGAGCAGCGCCTCGATAAATTTTATACGACCGTGTGATGCCGCAATGTGAAGGGCTGTGCGTCCTTCCGCATCCACCGCGTTGACATCTATGTCTCTTCTCCACCGCAGCTTATTTAGCACCCACAAGTCACCGACCTCCGCAGCTGCATGCAACTCTGTCATGAGTGGAATACAATAACCACAACTGTTGTTTCTCTATTCTACGGGTGTTATATTGGCCAGAATATTATTAAAGACCAAAAGAAAAACGCTCTGTTGGTATTGCTAATCAGGAAGCCTTGGCTGCAAATAAATGAGTACCCGCCTCCTTTGCGTGTGTACGTGTGTGTAATTTTTGCAGCTTTGCAGTTTGTGGTTCAGCCCCACTATAGGGAACTCTTCAGCAAGCAATAGGTGAGAGTGAGAAGAACAAGGGAATGTAAGAAGCAAAGAAGGCAGGCATGAATGCATCACGCACCGAAAAAAAAAAAAAAGGGGGGGGGGGCTGCGCATCTCTCCCCAGGCACTTGCCCCTGTCGTCAATCACAGTCTCTTACCCAGAGCAGGAAATGTGTGAAATACGCCACCGGTGATGCCCATCGCCTTTTCCTTGCCAACGCTGCACGCGCGAGTCCTCCCCCACAGTGAGGAAAAAGGGGCGCCAACCAGAGTTGCGTCTGCAGGTCCGTATGCGTGTGCGTGTAGGACTTTGCGGTGATGCGCTACCGCCGGGGGCAAAAGGAGCTGTCGAATGTGTGTGGCGAGACGCCTCAGCTGCAGTTGCCAAATTGGCACACCGCCCTATGAGTCGAGGTCTTCGCAGTCGCCACGACGTACTTCTCTCATCACCACCTCCCGCCCATTTATTCCAGAGAAACGGGCAAAGCGGCCCAGCGGCCGCCGTCGTCATTGACAGTCCACTGGTGATGGTAGTTGCAGGCATACCCACCTCCCCAGTCCCCAGTTCCCCCGCCCGCCTGCGAGGCCTCACGCGATAAAGTGGCTTCCTTTTGCGGGTGCATTGTCTGCCCCTTCGCAAAGCACAACAGACTTGAAACGTGCGCGTGCGTGGCCCAAAAGGAAAGTAACTGCCACGCAGCAGTCACTGACACAAACTCAAAAGCCCTCAGCAGAAGAATATACGCAGCCACAAAGAAAACAAACAAACAAAAACTCGCCCAAGCCTTCCGCGGGAAACCGAAACAGTCACAATGAGGAAAGCTCGCACGATGCACGCCCCCATCCCTCCTACGCGGCACCCATTGACATTAGCGTGTCAACAGACGGGAACGACATTTCCCGCAATAGTTGATCCGCGTGTTGCATGTATTTCATAGACTGCAGAAAAACCATCTCGAACGCCAGCTGGCGCCTGGTAAGCTCAAGCATCAGCTTTTCCGTCTCAGTGTACGGCAGTGCCTTATCACAGCCCGCCGCCTCTTCACACCGCGTTGTCAACTCCCACAGGAGCGACCGAACAAAAGTGGCCTTTTCCGTTTTTGTGGAAAGCGTTCGTCTAAGAACGGATTTCCATGCAATGTTTCTCGCAGCCGGTGATGCCTCCCAAGCCGCATCGCTACATCGCCAGTTCACAAGCGACTGCATCCGGAGCGCGTCAAACACGCTCTCCAAATTCGACCTCCCCCAACATTTGTGGGCAATCTGCGTGATGGCACCGGGGCCTAGTGCCGGGAACCACTCCACAATAAGCCGCGACACGGCGCCCTTAAACAATCGCTCTCCGCTGTGTGCAAGCTCGGGGGCAACGGCGCCATGAAATGCCGTCAATATCGGCCTCCCCCCGCGAGATTCGCCGTCGCTAAGGTCGATAAGCATCGACTCCAAGGAGGCACGTCGCAGAGCGTCTTGCTCTGTGTGAACGTGCCCACCAACTACAGTCTGTACAAGTCTCGGAAAGGACCGCGCCGCACCAGTAAAAACAGCATGCGGGGAAAAGGAGGGCCTAAAATGCTCCCCATATTCACCGCGTGGAAACGCGGCTGCAAGAAACAGGAAGAGTTGATGGTTGTGGTGCTCACGGTCAGAGAGGTGACCAGCCGCCGAGACTCCCAACGGCTCACGGCACAAGTGACACCATGAGCCGCCAGGATCCAGAAAGAGGTGCTTGTTTGGCGCATCAAAGATGCGGTTTTGGATCCAGCAGGGGCTACCGTCCTGTAAGAAGGGACTGTGACACGCCAGGCTGCTGCCACGCGGCCCCACACGCAAATTGTTCAGTACATTCCGCGATGCATGAGTGAAGCGCGGGGGAACTACGTTGGCACCAGAGCTGCGCCGCGCCAACTCGCTCAGAAATGTCCTCGCTATTCTAGTGGAGCGCGGCTGCATCGATGCGCCCCAGTAACACCGCTAAAAGTTGCGGAAAGCCCACACAACATAAGCAAAGAATTAAAGCACACAGGAAACAAAGAAAAAAAAAAGAACACAAATTCCGCGGCACACAACGCATCCATTACACAACACGGGCAAAGGCAAATAAAAACTACAAATACGGTCCCTTCTTGCTTACGTATTGGGCAAAATAGAAATATATAAAGAAAGAGCGGGTGAGAATGAAGGGTATGCTTTGATGCCTTGGCCAAAATAGGGTCTACCCAGTCACAAACAGAAATAAGCCGCCCCAAGTTATGAAAGTCATGATAAACAGGGTAACTAAATGCAAGCTCCACAGGAAAGAGCATAGAGGGAGGAAAAAAAAAACGCCAAAAAATTGATCCGCACGCAAGCAAGGCAGCCAACGCGGGCAAATAGAAAGGAAAATTTAAATAAAAATGTTACTAGCAGTATTCTATTCTATTAAGCAACTACCAGAAGGAAACCCAACATTCCCTTCTCGTGCTAAAGATGCTAAGCCCTCAGAACCTCCCCCCCCCCACCTCTCCCCTTTACTAC